ATGGGCCCTTCCCCTAAAGAAGCCGATTTCCCCACTTGTAGGTAGCCAAAAGTTTTTAGGGCACCCCCCGATGCTAAGCGTGTGCTGGGGACCCCTTGGCACTTCAGCTGATCCCATTGCTCTTCCAGCAGCTTCCAGCAGCTCCAGAGTGAGGGAGCTCCAGTGGAGATGCCAGAAGGGCAGAAGCAGAGTTAGGGTTCAGCTTTGGCAGGTGCAGCACCCCTGGGACACCCCGAGCCAAAGATTTGGGGGTGCCAGCTGCACAAGGGGGGCAGCAGGGCTCAGCCTTGGCACGGAGGTGATGGGGACACTGCAGCCAGGACGGGGCTTGGCCCACACCCACATCTGCACCCGGGCAGCCCTGCGGGAGAGCAGCAGTGCCCAAAGCGGGACTGTCCAGCCCCCGTGGCTTCCTGAATCCCAGCACAAAATTCCCCTGGCCACTGCCAGCCCGGTCGCGCGCCAAGAGCCGCTCCAAGAGCGGCACATCGTGCGGCGCTGCTAATTCCTGCGAGCTGAATCAGCGCCGACAAGGATTGCAAAACCCCCTGAAATGGACCCAAAAACAATCTCCCTCTCTCTGTGCGATCCGGCGGGGCCGGTGAGCGACAGCCCCGGGCAGAGCCACCGGCAGGATGGGGGCTCGGCGGGGAGCCACAACGGGAGGAGCCGTGGCTTCACCGGGGCAGATCCTGCCTGCACCCTGACGTGGCAGGGCTGGAGGGGCTCTGGTCTCCCAAAAAATCACCCCTGGTTCCAGGCATGGCCCCACAGAAACCAAAGAGAGGTCCCCTGGGTCCCCCAGGTCTGCAGCAGAGCCCCGAGGGGTCATGGCTTGGTGCCAGGGGTCTGGATGCCCAATCTCTGGGGGGAGGACAGGCGTGTGCCCATCGCACAGAGCCCAGTGCTGCCAGGAAGAGCTTTGGAGCTCATCATCTTCTTGCATAGCTGGGGAGGCCAGGAGCACCGTGTGGCCACTGAGGCTGTGGCTCATCTGGGAGTGATTTGGGCGCTGCCATCCCGCCCCAGCGCTGGGCTATTTTTACCCAGTGGAATTACGGGACAGGCCACATGGGCTGGGTGGCTGCCCCGCCTTAACCCCTTCATGTGGCTGCCCGTGGGGATGGGTCCCACTGGGGTGACACCTGATGGGGTGGGGTGGCCTCTCCCCTTCCTTGTGTCTGAGGGTGGCAGCCGAGCTGGGGCAGGAAAAACCCCTTTCCCACTGATGGCAAGCACGTGTCAGCCCAGGATCTCTGGGATCTGCAGGGGCATGGGGACAGCAAGGGACCTGTCCTGCTCAGGTTCTTCCTGCTGGGATGGGTTTTTTTCAGAGAGCCCCAAAACACCTATCATGACCCAAAATGGCCCAGGAAAGAGCAGTGCAGAGGGTGCCAGGCAGGACAAGAGCAGGTCCCATCCCAGCTGGTGTCTGGGGAGAGGTGGCAGGGTGACAGTGGGAACATGTGCCTCGGTGGGGTTGGGGGCTGGGAGATGCCAGGGCTGCAAGCCTGGCCCCAGGAGCTGGCTCAGCCACAGGCCTTGGCAGAGTGTGAGTGTTAGAGACTGAGCCCCCCTGGCAGTGCCCCCAGGGAACCACCTGGGCCCCTCCATGTCCTGCTCCAGCCTGGGGGAGCCAAACAGCCCCAAATCCCTCCACAAACATCCTGCTGTGCCAACTCCCTGCTACACACAGGTCCCAGCTCTGTCAGACTTTGCACCGTGAAGGGTGGTGGGGATCCAGCTGTCCCCATCCCTCAGCCCCACCACCATCCTGCCCTGCAGGGACATGCCCACTGCTGGAACACCCCACAGGCACCTCTGCTGACCCCAGATCTCATCCCTACTGATCCAGCCCCAGCCCTGAGCTGGCCATGGCACCCCGGCCTCCCTGGGGACATTATCAGGACATTGATGCAAGGAAGGCACTGTTCTCCTGTCACCACGGTGGTGACAGCTCTGTCCCCGGGCAGTGCTGTGCTGCCTGCCAGGCGTGCAGCGGGGTCTGCTCGGTGACCCCAAGTCAGAGCCGGTAACCCAACCCCGCTGGTGCTGGTTACAATTTAGGGCAACAATAACCTATTGAGGCCCCTTCCTGGCTCCTGCCCTGCTGCTCCTTGATCTAATTAAAGGGGGCCAGGCGGGGACAGAACCCGAGCTGAAGGAACTGCAGGTACCCAGGGGTGGCACGCTGAGGACCAGGATGTGGAGAGGGGCCATGGCCACCCACACCTCTCACCTCCCGTTCCCTCAGGGTCTGGGAATTGATGGGGTCAGCTCTTAAGCACGGCCCTGACATGCTTTGAAAATGATATTTGTGTCGTCAGAAATATCTCACCTGCTCAGGATTTGGGAAAGAGAACCCCAAAAGGACACAGGCTGATGTGGAGGTCCATGGGGCCAGTGTCTCCCACTCCCTGCCCTCTTCCAGGGATGCTGGATAGGCCACAACCAGCCTGAAGGGTTTGGGGTTGCTGTGGGCATTGGGGTGAGCACACTGGGG